CTGTTGTCCTCTCGTCCCTTCGCATTTCTTTGCTGCAATCTTGACTAAGATTGACTTATCATCTCTGAAAATGCACGTCACCTACATCTTTGAGGTTCAAGCATCATACCTAAGCCTTGAGGCCACAATTGAGGCCCGTCGTTGTGTACTTCTGCCCGAAGAGATAGCAGGATGGTAGTCCTGAGCGATTCACGGGCTCGCCCGTCCCTGACTCTATGCCATCTCCATATTAGGGATTCTGATCCTCCCAGTGCATTCGCGCACTCCAACGGGGATCCAAGAGTAAACAGAGTTTCTTGTTCCACGAAAGCAGAAACTGGTCTATCGAAATGAAAACGGCTGTAATCTCCGAATTTTCACGCCACCGCGAACCTAAAGTCCAGTACAGATAATGTCGGGAAGCATACTTCAAACTCTGACGGATTCACTATGGATGTGGTTTATCGGCACCTCTTGGGACAGTTTGCCTATTGCAGGTATAACGTACGTGATCTTATCTCTGGACATGGCGCCGAATAGCTACTGGATTGATGTGACCAACCCCGGCTGTACGCAGCCTCTTACACCATCTCTTACCCCATCGGTGATAGAAAAGCCGCTTTTGTGGCTGAGCAAAGCCTGTGATCATGCCAATGACATATTAAATTTGGTCAACGCCGATTGCGATGTAGGGTTGGGCAATGTCATTCTGTTTTGTTGGGATTCGAGTCGCTGGGGTTCTCCGACACAGTACGAGCGCGGTTTGCCCCGAGCCAAGGCTCGGATAGACAGTAGGAGAGTCGCCCGAAGGGGCAATCGCGCAAGGATTAATATGATAGCGTAGTACACATACTATGTACTGTGGCTGATGTGCTGTACAGTACGTAGTTTCGAGACGCTTATGTAATCACCATTTGCCCGTTACCTTTACGCCAAATTATGAAAGTGATCATGGTTCTCTCATACAGAGATAAGATAATGATATAAGGCCATAATACTGCCTAGGTCACACGGATTGATTGCACAAGTGGCTATCGTGGCGGTGTCTGAACGTTTGAACGCCAGCCGAGAGTCGCAGCTCACTGGTCCGGTCATCGGTCATGAGGTTACATTCTATTACTTGATACAGTAGAAGGCTATGTTAGAATACAGTCGATATAAATCTGATATGATAGCATATTATGCGAGACGCACTGTCTTGTACGCCCGACATCGCATTTCATTCCCATCCCAGTACATCCAAGGAGAATGCCGATGTGATGTTGGTAACAAGGGTGTTGACTCAGCACATCGCAGCCGTTGGGCAACACTGTTGTCGGCGCGCCTGAGTTTAGGAGGTAGCTTGTCATGTGATGCCTCCCACCAACGATCACTGCCAAGATTCTTGACATCTCGTAGGTTACAAGGGTTATGTGTAAGCCATGATTCTGTCAAAGGGAACCCGGGGACACTTGGGTCCCAAATCTGCTTCCTGATAAGAAGATCATATGAGGGGGGAAGTTCCTTGCCAGCCCCTAGCAAAATATGATCAATGAGCACAAGTCCTTGAGCCTGTAGGGGAATTGAGTTAGGAGAATGTACATGAGAAATGGATTAGGACCCACCAGCTCCCTTTTCCATGGCTCTCGGAAATTGGGATACCCAATCACCTCCAATGACTGTAGTGCTAGGCGAAGGCGAGCTTCAAGGATATCTGTAAGTGCTTTGATTTCCTCTCTGGAAAGGGGCCATCCGTAACCAAGGAGATTCAATGCTTCCAACAGACAGGGGTGCACCGGGGAGGACATGGGGGGTCCGAAGAAATTGGGTCGGTTACAACCCCTTATATACATGGATCCGGCAAATCCCGATCACAAAAGCGTTGTCTGATTCTTTTAGGACCTCAGGTCTACAGTGTGCGTTGCAGTGCAACGCGGAAACAGTGATTCTTCTCATGTGTTTGTTCGGACCAAACAGATACTTCATATAGTAATCACATCCTCCGTGTGGGGTCACGCCAACACAAAACTCTGTGCAGAGTATAGCTAGTGTCATTTCAGTCTACCATGGGGGCTGGGAGCCAGACTCCAAACCAGTTGGTCAGACGGGATGACGCAGCACCGGAGTTGCCTTTTTTGGAACTTGTTTCAAGGTCACTCGTCTGACCGACTGGCAACACTTGCCCATTTCAGATTTCCCCACCCGCCCAAAAGCGGCGATTTGGGGGTCATTTTGCAGATGGGGAAATCTTCGGCAGGGCAAGTGACCTTGGAACAAGTTCCGAAAAAGGCAACTCCGGCGTTGCGTCATCCCCGACCAACTGGTTTGGAGTCTGGCTGGGAGCATGTTTTGAGGCTGAATGATGTTGTGTGGATGGGATTGGGCCCTACTATGCCTGTGCCCCCGATGAAACAACGCGCCTGTCGTGAGACATCCTTGACTTGCACTCGATTCCTTGACCACATACTCCTACGATGACCTTCAAAAACATGATATTCATATATCTCAGTGTCTTCCGTAGCATGAGACAAAGCGACAGACTTGTCCGTTGCCTGGGAGAGATGCCAGCGAGATGCCGGCTTCCACCGCGCTAAACCCCCTATCTTCCATGTACAACATTCCAACGTTTATATGTTACATTTATCTAAACATTAGTGTGCACAATTAGTGTACAGTGCTCTTTGGGTACCAGTCATGGCGTCACCGAGAGCTCAAAGTGATTGGGTAACATTTACTCCGATGCCCTGAGCGGATAAGAATTGAAGGGGAGAACACACGACAGTCTTTCGAGCCGTGTTTACTCAATTTTGGGATCTAGCTTCTGAGCTTCGACTA